AAAAAAAAAAAACACCCCAAACCCCCACATAACCCAATCAATAAATGGGCAAAGGAACTGAACAGGCACTTCACAGGAAGAAACACAACCAATCAACAAATATATGAAAAAATGTCCAGCATCTCTAGTAATTAGAGAAATGAAAATTAAAACTACACTGAGATTCCCTCTCACTCTAGTTAGAATGGCAATTATCAAGAATACTGTAAGGGTCCGGCAAACGACGGAGGAAAAGACCACCAAGAGACTGTCTCATGCAACAGCAAAAGGGGTTTATTGAAGATCCAGCACGCTGGGGCTCCGTGCTCACTCAAGAAGGGAGAGCAGCCCAGAGCCCCGAGCAGGGGTTAAGCAGTGCTTAAGTACACTTTTTGGGGAGGACGGAGGCTTTGCATACATCAGAGCAAATCATCATGAGGCACGGGAAAATCGAACAACAACTCTCAAACATGATTAGTACATTCTTTGGCGGGAACAGGTCGGGCGGGGGTGATAAGTCAGTCCTAAAGCAGGATATACATTCAAACTGATTGGTTTAGGCCCTGAGGTGCCTACGTGCTGAGCTGCACCGGGTCCAAGTTGTTAAGCAACTAAGTGGTCAGGGGGGATTCCTACACATATCTAATGGGCAGTCCCGGGAATTGTCTTAACAGCTACAGGAATTTCAGGCTTTAAGTGTAGCTTAGAAACTTAACAATACCTGGTCCTTTACATTTTAACTCAGGCTTTGCAGTTTAGAAACTTTACAATACCTGGTCCTTTACATTTTAACTTCAGTTTCTTTTACTCTTTCAATACAAGTAACAAAAACAACAACAACAAAGAATACAAGTAACAACAAATGTCAGCAAGGACATGGGGGAAAAGGTACACTCATACATTGATAGTGGGACTACAACCACTCTGGAAAGCAGTATGAGGTTCCTCAGAAAACTTGAAATGGACTCATCATTTGACCCAGCTGTCCCACTCATCGGTCTATACCTAAAGGACTTAAACTCAGCATACTACAGTGACACAGACACATCAATGTTTATAGCAGCTCAATTTACAATAGCTAAACTATGAAACTAACCTAGGGGCTCTTCAACAGATGAATGGATAAATAAAATGTGGTGTATATACACAATAGGATATTACTCAGCAATAAAAAGAGTGTCTTTATGACTTTTGCCAGAAAATGAATGGATCTGGAGACTATCATGCTAAGTAAAATAGGCCAATCTCAAAAAAATCAAAGGCTGAATATTCTCTCCAATACGTGGACACTAACACACAATAAGGGAGGAAGGGTGGAAAATAGCAGTTGAGTGGATTAGACAAAGGGAAATGAAGGGGAAGAGGAATGGGAATCAGAAAGACAGTAGAATGAATTGGACATAACTTTCCTATGTTAATATATAAATACACCACTAGTATTTATATATCTACATCATGTGTAACCACAAGAATAGGATCCTAATTAGAATAAGTTATATTCCACGTATATATAATATGTCCAAATACACTCTATTGTCAGGTATATCTAAAAAGAACAAATTAAAAAAATAAATCAGTAGTGTCTGTAGTAATGCCAGAAAAAACCATATGTGTATCAAAGTGCATTCTACTGTCATGTATAACTAATTAGAACAAAGGAAAAAAAACCAAATGCATGACTAGAAATAAAGAGGTACATTTTATAATGATAAAAAGTTTAATCCTTCAGGAAGATATAAACATATATATGCTTAACAATAAAACTCCAAAATATGTGAGGCAAAAACTGACAGAACTGAAAGAAAAAATAGACAATTCAAAAAGAAGAGTTGGAGACATAAATAGTCAGCTTGCAGGAATGGGTAGAAGAGAAATGCAGAAGATAAGCAAGCAAACAAAAGGCTCAAACAACATAATCCAGCTAGATTTATTTATTTTCTTTTTAAAATCATGTTTGTTGAGATATAATTTATATATGGTACAATTTACCCCATTTAGTTTTATAGATATATGAATTTTGATAACACAAATATAAAAAATGACAACATATATATGGATATATAGTACTACCATCAAGATTCAGAATAATGGGCTGGGATTGTGGCTCAGCAGTAGATGCTTGCCTATCATACGCGGGGCTCTGGGTTCGATCCTCAGCACCCCATAAAAAATAAATGAATGGAATAAAGATACTGTGTCCAACCACAACTAAAAAATAAAAAGATACAGAATGTTACCTTGTTCTCCTTTACTTCTTTTTTAAAAAACAAATAAATTAATTTTAATATATTTTCATTTAACCCAATGGATTACCAACAAAATTTGCAAAGAAAAATAATTATTAGTAAGATATTTCATATTCATTTTCTTTGTCCTAGTAATTCTTTGGAATCTAATGTCTATTTAACACATAGCACACCTCAGTTCAGACTAGACACATTTCAAACACTCAGAGGCCTCATGTAACCAATGGCTGCCATATTGGCTCCTTTCTCCATCTTTCACCTTTTGGTGAGACATATGTTGTAGGCTGCATAA